CACCCCGGCTCAGCATTTTGTCCCAGCCCCAGCCCCAATCCCTCCCTCCCCCACATCCCTTCCCTCCCCCATCCCTCAGCCCCAACAGACTTACCAGCTGGAGGCAGCTGTTTCAGCTGCCTGTTTAGTCTATGTCTGAATCTCCAAAGTGGCCAAATCTTTTCCGAAGCTTTTGCAAATTGATTCGGATGCTTCGAATCAATTTGAAGCTTTTAATTGGTCTCCCAATTCGATTCAGATTCGAAGATCCGGTCCCCAAATCGGGCCAAATTGCCTCTGAATCGAATCAGTTACTGAAGCTTCGCACAGCTCTAGTTCCCAGCCCCTGCCCTGCATGCCGGGTGGGGGCTGGAGACTTTGTTTCCCACTCAGCTTCGTAAGTGCAGAGCTCCCCAGCCTGTCCTGTCCACTGCCCCGCCAACTCCATGCTTGCGGAGCTGGGTGGGGAACAGGTTCCCCTGCCCCTGCCAGTAGGGAGCTCCCAGTGCTGGATCTTTGACCACGGGGCTGGTGCTGGGAGACCCTTATCACCCAACACTGGCTCTGTGACCATGGGGCCAGTTCTGAGCAATCCTTATCATCATGTTGGAGCAGGGGGCTTGGAACTAACTGCCACCAGTGCAGGGGGACATAGTCCCCACCCGGGCTCCTGTGGCAGAGCCTGCCCCAGCGGCAGGCAGCTCCTGAGGGCAGGGAGCAATCTCCTGCCCCCTGCTGGATGGCTGACCATGAGTAAATTTTGCTCCTGGTCACGTGTGTACACAACACTACTGCGCCATTACCAATCTCAAGTAAATTTGCTATTTGAATTTGCAGGTACCAAATTCATTCAGGATTAGAGAGGTTTACTGTCTAGTAAGCATGTGTACATGTAGACACATATGCTTACTTCACAGTAAACTATGCTAATGCACAGTTAAGTGTCTCATGTAGATCCACCCAATGAACATGGACATGCTTTCATCACCTACGGTAACTGGTAGCGGCTGGGGATGTGATACTGGGTTTGATGGAGCAATGTTCCAAATCAGTTCCTGAGTTTTCCCTACTAGATTTATGTATTGACCTTCAACTTCAAGCCAAACCACCATCCCAACCTCTAACTAGCCTTCCCACTGTCACTCTGCCTCACCTCTCCCTCCCACATCAAAGCGCAGGTTTGGGACTGATGATCAGGATGAAGGAACAAATAATGCCCAGGTCTCTGAAGAAACTGATTGATAAAATGGTAGGACAAACTATGTTCCCCCAAGGGGTTTTGTTACTTAATTACATTTGCCAGGAGAAGATTTACCCTTCCCCACACTGCAGGCAACAGGGGGAACTTCTTTGTTGAAAGTGCGTGACGCATGGCATTTCCTTTTCCAAACAGTTCATTACTTCTGGATCCCTCTCGGTGGCTTCAGAGAAGAATCCTGTAGACTGTCATGTAAGTCTTTCATTTTCCTACTTCCCCAATCCATGGGGCGTTTGCAAAACTGCCTTTGCTCACTTGGGCACGTTGAATATCTATCAAATGCTAAAACACAAGGGGTTTCCTTTCATCAGCCAAAAGTATTTCTTTTTCTCAGTTCAAGCTGTGATGTGGCCATCAGGGGCATGTGAACCATAAGCTCCCAAGTTTACATCAGTTCCTCCACCCCCTCCTCCCAGACCTGTACTCTTCGGAGCAGGGAGGAAAAACTCTAGGTAGGAGTGGATGGGTATCCTCCTCATGAGAACTATGATGGTTCTAGTTTCCATGGGTGTGGTACACAGGTAACAGGGTGCAATTTAATACCTGCGGTACCCAAGAGGTCAGATAAAATATTAGTGTGATCCCTTATGCTCTGAATCTTATTTTTATTCCCAGAGAATCATGAAGGGGAAGAGGAAGGGAGAGAGAGAGAGAGAGGGAGAAATCAGCTCTGCTTCTTCTAATGCAGTTAGAATGCTTTGGCTGTCCAGTAAAACCATAAGCCAGGCTTGCCAGTCATGAATTATAACTTTGCGTGCATCACTGTACCTGTGACTGGGTCCCAGATATAGATGGCTATACTCTGTACAGGAGAGATTGTGCAGGTAAAAGGGGTGGGGGGGTGTAGCTTTCCATGTCAAGGAAAGCTACACTTTCCTGCAAGCCAACACTGGCACCCAGGGTGGATGACTGGAGATCCTCTGGGTTAAAATCCATAGTGAACGTGGCACAGGGAACACAATAGTAGGAATCACTACAGACCTCCTAATCAGGATCAAGAGCTCAACCCGGAATTAGCCAAGGAACTGGCTGAGGCTGCATGCTCTCGGTGCATGGTTGTCATGGGAGACTTCAACTACAATTTACAGTTAGGGCTGCCAGGTTATGGAATGGGCTTCCAAGGGTGGTGGTGCTCTCTCCTACCTTGAGAGTCTTCAAGAGGAGGTTGGATCGATATCTGGCTGGGGTATTATGATCCCAGCACTCGTTCCTGCCCAGGGCAGGGGGTCGGACTTGATGATCTGTTCAGGTTCCTTCCGACCTTAGAAACTATGAAACTATAAATACAATACTTGCGTCCTGAGTGGGCAGAGGCACAAAGGTAGTTAAAAACTGGAAGTCTTTGAGATAGCCAAGTTGGTTACCAAAAAAAATGCTGTTGCTCAGCCAGTGTCAGCAGTCACTGGATGTTTTTTTTTTTTTTAAATTAATCCCTTATAAAACAAGGGTTTGTTCCTTTGCAAAGTTTTTCCTGAATATGAACTAGATGTGTGCTGGTTTTCCTGACACCTTGCATAACACTAGCCTTTTGATTATTTCTTTCAGATGAAAGGCAGCCTGGGGATGAACATCATCAGTGCTATTGCTGCGATTGTGGGGCTAATTCTAATGATTGTAGATGTGTCTATTAGGAGCATGCCATACAATGCCTCTTATTTACTGCTTGTAAGTGTCAGACGCTTCCTGAAGGTGTTATGTAATGACTGTACCTAGTTAGAGGTGCTGGATGCCTGGACATGCCCCAGACAAACCCTTTCAATGCACTTCTGAATGGTGAGGAAATAGGTAATAGTTGGTTTGCCTATAGCAAACGGTTACATTTCATTTGTTGTGGACACACAACACTTATGTATTTTTACCCTTGATTCCTGCCCCTGCACCATTCCACCCTGCTCAGGCAAGTCCACACCAGATTCGGATCAGTTAGACAAGAATAGGACTGTTACATAAGTGGCTGTTTTTTGTTCACACTGGTGTGAAGGCTGATTATACTGGTGAAACTAGTTATGTGTCCAAGCCACAGCAGGGAAAGACCTTTGCTCCTTCTTCCATGCCACTCTAGTGAAAAGGGCAGGGTTTATTGGTGGGGTTGGAGAAGCAATAGTATTTCTCCTTTGGAGTTCTACTTCTTCCATCGCTAGACTAGACCCTCCTTAGAGCTCTCCATTCCTATCTCAGCTTTCCATACCTCTGTGTTCTTGCCTCCCACAGATGTCTACAGAAGGGATAACAGCCATGCTCATCATCTTCAGCATCCTGGAGCTGGTTGTTGCAATCAGAGTCACTCATTTTGGGTACCAAATCTTCTGTTGCCAACCTAAGGTGAGTGCTTCCTGGGGTCTAAACTGTGCAACATGTTTTGAAGTTGGTATCATGAGACACCTGGTGCTGAATAGCCTCACCCTGGCTGTGAGAAGCAACCCTTGCTGTTAACTAGAAAGCTTGGGAAGATGAGAGCAATGGTTGGAGAAATGCAAGTAGCTTGAGGAACTACAATGGGGATTAGAAGCCAAGGAAGTTGCTGGGGGACAGGGTGATGGTTTTGACGTTGTGGAGAACGGTTGTCTCAGTGCACAAGTGAGAAAGGGAGGATGAGGGACCGAAAAGGGTGGTCTTGATGGAGAATGGTGTGATGATGCACAAAGAGGGGAGGATGACGCTAGTGGGATCTCACTTCTGTTTTTTCTAGGCTCCATTCATTATACAGAACGCCTGCCTGACTGTTGAAGTCCCTCCTCCAGAAGCGTCCTCTCCACCACCGTACGACTATTCAGCTTCCAATCCCAGGAATCTGGCAAAATAGAGAGGCTAAGAAGAAACCAGAGGGTGAAACAGAACGTTGCAGCAACATGAGTTGCAGTTCAGCTAAAGAGGAAATCTCAATTCTTCTGCTCAATTAATTTGTTTTGACACATTACTAGCCTACAGATCCATGAGTTTCTTAAATAGATCTCCTCCCTAGAGAAGGAACTTTTTCTTGCTGTGAAAATCCTGTCTTTAATGCAATTGGTTTCTCTGCAGTCCTTTCTGTTTTGGTCCCTTGTAGAAAGGTATGTGCAATTCTCTTCACCAAGCTCCACAAAGATGTTCTGATGCTGGATGAGTCCCTTAATGTTAGGTTGTATTCTTTTATTATTCACTTTTAAATAAAACCTCTGTTGAGATTTTTCCTCTCTTAATCTCTGGTATTTGTATGATACCACAGCAACCATACCCATAAACTCTGAAGTTCATCTGAGATGCTAGGGGCTGCATCCTAAACTTCCAGGATCTGCCACCTCAAAGTGGCACCTCCAGGGTTTAAGGAAAACCATACTCAATAGCTTTATTCAGCTGTGGCACAAATAACTTGTGTTGTGCAGTTGAAATCTGACTAATTATATGGACTGGCTGCTTTTTCTTGTGTCTAAACTTTGCCAAGTCTGAGCAGGGGAAGGGAAGGTTCTGTCATCACAGGCTTATTATGAGGCTGAAAGATCTCTGTCCTTGGCCAATCTCCTTTGAGATCACTTGGGGTGTATCTGTACCATGTCCCCTGACATGTCCCTGATGGGATATTAAACATGGATTATGCAGGCCAACCTGGAAATATGGCAGAGCAGCTGCTGCAGGGAGTATCCTTTTGAGGGGACAGAGACTGACCTGGGGGCATGGCACACCAGAGACTAAGATCTAGGAGGAGTGGGCGATTTCACAAGCCAGTAGTACCCTCCTTTGGGCAACTGATGCTGATTCAGAAGAGCCAGGGCCTTTGGAGCTTGTGGCCTGGGACCTGGTTCAGACCCCAAGTGAAATAGCAGCTTTTGTGGTCTCAACCCATGGTCTCCCCACAGTGAATTTGCTTCTCCCTTGCCAATGGGGTTGCCCTTCCACCCAGGCAGTGTCATAGTGCCAGCCCCTGGTCTCTAGTATCACGGGCATGGCTCAAGGGAGGGTACACTACAGGGGCATGCTACTAAGGCAGCGCCCGACAAAAACTGTCCTCTTCCCAGGCTGTGAATGTGCCCCTTCATCCTACAGAGATAGGGAACTCACAATATCACAGATATGCATGATCCACTCTTTGTGATGACAAGGCATTTCACTGAGGAAGGAACAGATGGCACCAAGAAACAAACTATAACTGGGGTCAGTAACATATGACCTGCAGGCCAGATCCAGACCATGGAGCCACTGAAGTTGGCTTGCAGACCTGGAGGGTTTTACCTGTGCCTTTGCCAAGGCCACACAGCAAGGAGCTATGCTAGGGGTGGGCAGATGAAAACTTAACCCACACTGCCGCTGCTTTCTCCAGCCCCTCTTCATCATGCCTGTAGTGCAGGTACAGCTTTTAGCTGGTTGGGAGCTGCACCACAGGTGGGAGGCGGGCAGGGTGGGGAAGTGGAGAACTGGTGGAAGTAAGGGTGTATCTTCCCAGCTCTGATGGAGTTTCCTGCCAGCTGGAAGCACAGTCAGGGAACCAGGGGCTGGAGGTAGCAGCAGTGGCTGAGGTGCAGCTCTCAGCAGCCTGGTCTTGGCATAGATCCAGGCAAAGCTGACATGCTGCTGAAACCACAGGCCCACATTAAACCAGAGCCAGGCTGTTCCATCCTGTGGCTTGAAAAACTGGCTGCTGACCTTAATTCTGCCCAGTTGTGACACCTCTAGGAAAAAAATACTGTATTTAAAAATAAATTCAAACTTCCTCACAAATTTCCAGCACTCTAAGATGGTTGCAGGTTCTCATTAATGGGGGGACATTAGTTCATTCAACTACAATTGTCGTACATTCCCATATCTTAACGTTTGTTTCCCTTTGTTTGTAATGGCTGTTTCTGAGATATCAAAATTATCTCTGATGTATTTTTACCTTAAATATTTATTCTTGGCCTTAACTCCCTCTCAATATTGTTGTTTTTATTTTGCCCAGGAAAATTCAGAAGGGTGTAAAACTAAGCCTCTGTGCTGCTTTTGCTTGTGAGGTTTTTTTTGGCCAAAGGTTTTTGGTAAAATCACTTCAGTTTTGCCCATCTTTATTTAAAGCACTGCCTCAGGAGAGTGCAGCTCCCATGGGAAAGCTGAGAATTTTGTCTGTCTGGTCTTCAGAGCCTATTTCTGCTTGCATTGATGTTTGTCCAAATCCAGAGGGACTCTACTAGGATTAAAATCTGGGATAAATGACTCAATAATCAGAAATACCTTTTGCCCTAGGACATGACTTCTTCCAGTGTAAGGTTTGACTTCATTTAATCTGTGAAATCAGGAGTTGGAAACATTCCAAGAAAGGGATTTTGAAGCATGTCCCCTGGGAACATTGCCTGGCAAATCTATGGATATTTGGGAGGGGTGGTTATCCTTATATCTGAAACTTTAATACCAACTGGCACTAAGAATGGCTCCATTTATGCCCAGCTGTAAATGGTGTCAGTGTTCTGCTGCAACAAGTTAAGATCATGCTCTTGCTAGGCAGTGCAATTGCTTACAAACAGGTCTTTTACTCCAATTGTTGTCCACTGGTGTTGGGTAGAGTTGTGCAGCCCTTAAGAGCCTTGGGTATTGCAGTCCTTTTGCTTTTCAGAGGCTTCATTTGGTCTTTTGAGCATAAGATGAAAATGAAACAGTAATTCCCAAGGCCTTGGCAGGGTGGACCTTTGAGTTGATTTCACCCATGGAAAAACACACAGGTCCATTGAAGTTAATCACCATTTACTTGATGCCACCACATTTTTGCCTAGAGTGTTTTTTTTCTGTGAGCTTCATTAGAATGAGCCTTGTTTAGTCATCACTGGGCAGCTGCTCTTTTAGGGCACTGTGGCAGCTGTGATCACTTCTGGAGGGTATGCCCAAACAGAAGGAGTTCCAGGCAGGGACACTGAGGTAAGTGATGGAAGGATGAAGTGGTTAATTGTTGATGCCACAGGTAGTACACCACAGGGTTGGGGTAGTACCTGGAGAGGAAGCTAGGAGAGGTTCCTTGCCAATCCCTCCTAGATTTGGGTGCCCTGGTATCCATTATCTATAGTCGGGTATGGGAGCAAGCTACAACAGAGAGAGACCGGAACCTGTGACCCTGTGGCACTGAAGTCAAGGCTGCCAATGGGGAAGCATTCCCAATTCTGGGAGAGTGGATGCAGCTCTCAACTTCCACAGCATATAACTGCTACACACCTTCCCCACAGCCAGGGATACCAACCAAGATGTCTTATTAGGTACTGACTTCTAAATAAATTCTAGGTTACCATGAACTTTGCAGATCGTTCCTGCTCCTTTCTGGGAAGGCATTTCCCTTTGTGTACTACAAATGGCAAGGTGGGAGTATGTGAAGTCACAGTGGAAAAGAATTTAACAGTTCCTCTGCGGAGGGAGATGATGGTCACTGGCAAGCTGAAGAGATGGTGTCATGGAGATGAAGAGGGCTTATTTGAACCCAAGCCCAACGAAGGCTTGGGATTCCTAGTGGGAACTGCCACAGCAGCACAATCCCAGTACATGTTGCTAATGCATCGACAGAGCCCCAGGTTGCATATCAAGGCACTGTAATTAGGATGTTACACACACACAAAATGTACAAACTATTTTGTACTGAAAAGTGTGTTCTAGTTTTCATGTTGCTAGGTATTTTATTTTATTTTAAATACAATTAATTTTTCCTCGTATTTGTTGTATATAATCATGTCTTCTATATGTGCTGTATTTAAGTATCTGGCCTCCTCTCCCTTGGCTTGGTGATCTGAGGAGAAACTGCATGTAGTCAGATACCTGTGCTTTTTGTTTTAGAAACCCTCCCTGCCATGTGATGAAACCAGAAAGTCATGTAAACAGGGGGGATCAGATCCCTAGCCAGAATGGCTAAACTGGGAAGTGCTCTTTTTTTAAATTAATTGGTTTAGAGAAAGGCTGGAGGCTTGGCAACCCCTGATTGGATATTTGGGGATGATGTCATGCCAAGGTATTTAGGAATCTTTCAGCTGAGGGTCGCATCTCTCTGTTTGGGGCTACAGAGGATGCTCCTGCATAATTGGGGAGCTAAGCTTCAGAGAATTGCTCCCCGTGTGGGGTCCCGATTTGGGCTAGACTGAGGGCCTGGCACATGTTGTTGCTGTTGCAACTTCTTTTGTCTCAGCCTAGCTGTGTGGCTGAAACCCAGCTTTATGTTTGCTGACACGCTGTGGGCCAGGGTTGAGACCTGGCACGTTTTGTAGCTTTTTATGTCCCAAACAAGCAGTGCGGCTGGGTACTAGTTCTAGTTTAGGCCCAGTGCCATTCTTTGAGTTCTTTTGCAGTTTTCTGCTCCACCAGAGCTGGGGATTGGGACTATGAAGGTCAGGGTGAGGTATGCTGGTGGAAGCTGCAGTTAATCCCACAAAGCCACCATGTGGAAGTGGAGATTGGTGCCTTACAGCTTCCCAGGGAGCAATGAGGGGCCCCTTGCACCACAGAAGGACCAACACTCACAAGCAACTTCCCACAGTGCGTTGAACCCAAGGAGCAGCTCAGAGGACTCTCCAGTGTGGGCCCTACTCTCCAGCCTATTGCTGAGTTCAGGCCCCCTGTAACTTTCCCTGTGGGTGAGCCCCCAAGTCCCGGACTGCCTGAGCATGGGTGGAGCCTCCCCAAGACAGTGCAACCAACAGACTATGCCAGGGGTAGGCAACATTTTTTGGCCGGAGTGCCAAAAAGCCCACAATGTTTACCTTGGAAGATGCCAGAGTGCTGGCATGCCAGAAAAACAAAATGGGGGGTGGGGGGAGTACATGGCAGGACACACTGCATTTTAGTATATTTCATAATCATAAATGTTGCCTTTGTTGTTGTGTGTTCCTTTTTTGTTAAGCATGTTGCAGTGAGAGAGAGAGAAAAGAGAGAAATAAGAGAACGAGAGAGAAAGAGAAAGAGGGAAAAAGAAAGAAAAAAGAGGAGAGAGAAAGGAGAGCAGAGAGAGAACCAGACACATACAGATGCACACATGCACAGACAGAACCACATGTGCATAAACACAGAGAACCAGAACACATCCAGAACAGACACATGCACACACACATCCAGAACAGACACCTGTGTGAACACACAGACACACAGAACCAGAGGCAGACAAACACATAGAACCAG